AACTGTAGCATTGAGAATATCCCGCAACAACTGATCAAAGGTGACACTGCTAATTTAGTTGTAACAACAAGAGATTACCAAAGACAAAAAGTCGTTTCAAGCCAGGTGGTTGAAGCTAGCGTTACAAAGCCAGATGGTTCATGTGAAGATATCAAAGTACAGGATAACAATGATGGAACACACACAGTGATAGTACATGGAGAAATAGATGGGAAATATAAAGTGTCAGTAACAATAGACAATCAACCAATACCAGGAACACCTACAGAGTTCCACGTTATAAAGGGATTAGTGAATACCATTGGTAAAGAAGGCAGTGAGGTTGGGTGTTATTCACTTCCTCGTAACATAGCAATACATAAGAATGGCGATATTGTTACAGCTGATAAGGGCCATGCCAGACTAGTTGTCACAGACAGGTATGGAGGCTATAAGAATACTATAAACATTGAACAATATAATCCACGCAGTGTTTGCATATTTAATGACAAATACTTAGTTACAGACTTTATTAAAAAACAAGTTGTTATTAGTGATATGAATGGTAAAGTAATTAAAGTATTCAGTGAAAACATGAAGAATCCTGCGTACATTGCTGTCAGATCTATTGATGACATGATATTTGTATCTGACTGGGATTTAAAACCTCATCAAAATACAGATAAAGATGGTCACTGGATAAGAACATACACATCAGATGGATATCATGTCAAATCATTTGGAGGATATGGAACTAATCCAGGACAATTTAAAGGAATATATTCTATGGCGTTTGACAATCAAGGAATGTTGTTTGTATCTGACTATGGCAATAACCGCATACAAGTCTTCAATACAGATAATAAGTATATGTATTCATTCAATTGTCAAGGTCAAGGTGATGGTCAGATTTACAAACCACGTGGCATAGCTACTGATAAAAATGGATATGTGTATGTATGTAATAATAATAATAAGGTTCAGAAGTTTGATAGGAGTGGTCATTTCATCTGTCGTATTGATAAGGACACTGATGGATTGAATGTACCACACGATATAGCAGTCACTGATGACATGCCTTATAGAGTGGTTGTAGTGGATAAAAATAACAAATGTCTTCGGATCTTTGCACAATAATTGCATGTTGAAATAGTGAATTTAGCGGTAATGGTAGACGATGAGGTCCATCTACGAATATATATATATTAGATATACCGGTGTGTGTATATATATATATATATATATATACAAATAATGATCTGAATCCTGTTAACTAATCTGAAGTGATTTTGTATTTTCGTACTGTGTAAAGAGTGTTATTGTTATCTTTCATTATCATTTGCTGTTACTGTTGAACAATGATTTGTTGATTAACGTAACAAGGATTATCAAGATGTAGTTGAAAAAATGGTTAAACTAAGGAATAAATGCATGTACAGACAGCAATGGATATATTTACATGGCTAATAACAATTACTATTCAAGATCTGGCATTACAACAGTGAAGTAATCCGATGTTATTTAGGATAAATTTCTGTTCATGCCAAAATTTATGTTGCCCCCTTTAATTTTGATCAGTAGTTATTCAGCACCCAAATGTTAGCTTCTTTTTTTTACCCATAAAATTTTAATGTTATTTTTATCATCTAATTTTGTTAGATATATGAGGAAATGTCTGATGTAATCCCAGTCAATAAATATTCATTTGCTAAAAACTTGTATTCCAATTTCAAACTTAATAATTTTCAACCAAATCTTGATATTATTGAACCTAATTTCTTGCCCGCCATATCTTGTATATAAGATAAGATAAGATAATTCTTTATTACAACCTTATAGAATGAATTACATATCTATTTTGGTTTATGAAATGCAATAAAGGTGTTAAAATAAACATAACAAGTTAGATATCTAAAATCTACTACAATACAGTTACATGAAATAATGTAAAAAAAAATATTAATGACCCATTAGTTGGTTTTCTCTAATGGTATTTGCTGTTTTTATAAATTTGATAAGCTCTGTTAGTAAATATTTGTTGTTTGTATTCAATATATGAATGAATTTTTCTTTGTTTGTACAGTGTTGAAAATTGTTAATTTTCTTTGAAAAATGTGAATATAACAACTCTCTTTCATCTGTGTAAAGTTCACATTTTGTGATGTAATGAATTTCATCCTCAAGTAGGTTGCATTTAGTACATTTTCTGTCTTCTGTTTTTATTTTTGGTCTTTTGTGCCTTCCCATCTCGATGTTTAGTTTATGGGCACTTAGTCTCAATTTTGCTAATAGACCAATGTTTTCTTTATTATGAAGTGA